ACTGACTGTTCTTCCAGAGGTCCTGAGTTCAATTCCCAGTAACCGCATGGTGGCTCACAACCATCCGTTATGAGATCTGGTGCCCTCTTACGTCCTGCAGGCATACATGCAGACAGAATACTGTATACTAAATAAATAAATCTTAAAAAATACTACAATTAAAATTATTAAAGCAATTTAGTACAAGAAAAATAATTACATCAATGGAATAAATAGGTTCCATAAGAAAACCAAAATACATAATACAAAACTTAATTTATGATCATGGTAGCAACTGAAATCAGTTAGGAAAAGGGGGATTATTCCACCAATAGCACTTAGACAACTATTTGGTAGTAAGAATAAGGTATCTTTAGCTCACTCCTTACACCAAAGTATGACTCTAGGTGGGTCAGAATTGGAGATAGGGAAAAGCCCAAAATACAATAGTTCTTGAAGAAAATAGGATGATACTTCTTTCTGCTGTAGGAATGGGAAAGGAAAGACTTTTATAGCAAAACCCAAATTTCAGATTTCTGTCTTTTTTTCTTTTTCTTTTTCTTTCATTTTTTGCGGGGTTTTCAAGACAAGATTTCTTTGTATTGCTTTGGAGGCTGTCCTGAAACTTGCTCTTTAGACCAGGCTGGCCTCTAACTCACAGAGATCCACCTGCCTCTGCCTCCCAAGCGCTGGGACTAAAGGCATAGGCCACCACCGCTGGTCTCAAAATTCAGATTTCATAAAGGAAAATATTGGTGAATTTGACTTTATAAAAGTTAAAAGCCCTTCGAGGCAAAAACATCATAAAGAAATTCAAAAGAACAATAAAGCTGGGAACACACATTGGCTGCATATATGACAAAGGGTTTCAATTTATAACGAAAAATTGGTATGAGAAATGCAAAACGCCCGGGGCTTGAGAGATGGTTAAAAACACAGGCTACTCTTCCAGAGGACCTGGATTCAATTCCAAGCACTCACATGGCAGCTCACAGTCACTTATCTGTAACTCCAGTTTCAGGGGATCTGATGCTATCTTCTCACCTCTGTGGTCACCAGTCATTCAAGTGCTGCACTTGATTTCTGTGACTTCAAGGCCAGCCTGGACTACAGAATGAGTTCCAGGACAGCCAGAACTGTTACACAGAGAAGAGAAACCCTGTCTCAACGCCCCCCCACAAGGAAAGAAAACAAACATAAATCAAAACAATAAAATGCGTTTCATATTAGATTGGGAAACATTTTCAAATCTGTGGCTAGGGATGGTATAAGGAAACCCACTTTCATGTACTGCTGGTGGAGGACCACGAGTATAATGCTTTGAGGGTAGCAAGTAGCAATATGTATTAAAATAGAATGCGTACATGTCCCTCAACTGGATATTGTTGTTTCAATAGTACTTCCTCAGCATTCTTTCCCCACTTTTTTCTTCCTAATAATTTCTTTATAGTGCTATATAAAATTACGAAATAGTTTGCATTTGCTCTGCTATGGCTTGTTTGTGACTCTGAAAACTTCTTGCTTTGGAACTTTCATGCCTCATTGTGGCAGTGTTGAGAGGTAAGGCCTTGGTAGTGGCACTCACCTTTAATCCAGGACTCAGGAGGCAGAGGCAGGCAGATCTCTGGGTTCGAGGTCAGCCTGGTCTACAGAGCAAGTTCCAGGACAGCCAGGACTGTTACACAGAGAAATCCTGTCTTGAAAAAGAAAACGAGTGACTGAGAGAGGTAGGGCCTTGTTAGAGACATTTGGGTCGTGGGGGTGGAGCCCTCATGAATAACCTAATCCTTTGTCACAGGATTTGGTTAATTCTCCTGGTAGTATGTGAGTTCTTTTGAGTGCTTATTTGGAAGTTCTAGTAGGAGAGTATAACTGCTTGTGTACCCTTGACCATCCCTCCTCTATTTCAGGAAAGGCACTGACCAAGTTCACAGCCTCAGGAATGATGCCCATGGAGCAGTGAGGGAGGAAGGGGACACCTGTCTAGCCAGATAGATCAGCTGAATCAACCCTGGTGATCATTGGGGTGGCAGATGTCACAAGCAGATTACCCTTACATCCTATGTGAGTTTTCTTGAAGAACCTGATTAGTTACTGTAAAACTGGGTTCTTATAAAATGAGATTGTCTCTCATGTTTTGCCATTCTGCTTTCTGCCACAACTTGAACCTGTGCAATGCCCTTGCTGGTTCCATGCCATGGACTACTCAGTTTCCAGAGTAGTAAGCCAAGATAAACTATTCCTTTTAGTGTTGAAGACAGAACCCAGGATTCCACCACACAGCAACATCTCAACCCCTAAACCTCTTATTGTTTGTACATCATCAAGTCTCAGATACTCAGATATTTTCAGTAGAAAATAGACTAAAAAATTTTGCTAGAAAAATGCATCTAAGATATATTAAGTATTAAGATACAGTGATGAAGATGGGCATGGAGTGCATGCCTATAATGCTATGGTTTAGAAGGCTGAGGCACAGGGGAGTGAGTTGAAGGCCCACTTGAGATACACACCAAATTCCAGGTCACCTGAAGATATATTGTGAGACCCTGACTCAAAAAGTCAAGGGCTAAGTGAATAGCAGACTTAAAGCAAAAGATACCCAGACTACAATGCACAACCCCAGAGAAGCTTGAACCCTCTTTCAGAAACAGATGGAAGCAGATGCAGAAATCCACAACTAATAATTGGGTCAAGCTCCTGGAGTACAATGGAAGTGAGGGAGGAGCGATAATATGAACAAAGGAGTGAAGACCATGATGGGGAAACCCACAGAATCAGCTGACCTGAGCTAGTGAGAGGTCACTGACTCAGGTCTGACAAATGGGGAACCTGCATAAGACCGAACTAGACTCCCTTAATATAGGTGACAATGGTGTGACTGGGATGATATATAAGGCCAATGGCAGTGGGTCCAAGATCTAACACTAATGCACAAGCTGACTTAGTGGAGCCCATTCTATATGGAGAGATACCTTGCCCAGCCTAAGACACAGGGGTGTGGAGGTGGAGAGGGACCTTGGTCCTGCCTCAACTAGATGATGGGACAGACTTAGTAGACTTCCTAGGGGAGGCCTTACCCTCTTTGAGTAGCAGATGGGAGGTGGGGCAGGGAGAAGTAGGGGAGCAGGTAGAGAGGAGGGAGGTGGAACTGGGATGGGAATGTAGTTTGTGCGTGTGTGTGTCTGTGTGTGTGTGTGTCATGGGCTGGGGATATAAGTCAGTGGTATAATTTTTGTTTAGAATGTACAAAACCTTGGTTCCATCCCCAGTACTGAAAACAAAACCTGATGTTTAAAATTTATTTTTAAACAAATAAATGTATGCCGACATGTGCACATGTGCTTAATTATTTCCTAGAATGAAACAACAATTAGGAGTAGATCTGCTAGGGGATCAAGGAGTTTGATGTGAGATTGTGCCTTCTAATAATGTCAGAAGCTATACCCATAAAATGTCACAGACATGACTTCTTAAATATGAACTGAACAAGAACAACAACAATAGACGAGCTAAAGTGGATGTAGGAAAGCCCACAAGGCCTCAAATCTATACAAAGAACGACAGGCAACTAAAGAAGGCTGAGAGTCCAGGAAGTAGTTTTCCTCAGGGACCAATAAATATTCTCTTCCAATCCAATTCAAATGGTCAGCCCCAAAACACACATACAAGTAACATTATACAGACTGAGCAGGGTGCATTTATGTATTTAAGAATATATGTGTATACACACATATCTATATAGCAACAATTAATGTAAAAAGAGGTCATGAATTAGAGCAATAAAGGGTATATGGAAGGGTTTGGAGTGAGAAAAGGTTAAGGGGAAATGGTGTAATTATATTATAATCTCAAGAAATAAAAGGGATAATTAAAAAATAGCTCTATTGGGGCTACAGACATAGGTAGAGGTTAAGAGTCCATACTGCTCTTACAGAAGATCTGGGTCAGTTCCTAGCACCCATATCAAGCAGTTCACAACCACTTATAACTCCATCTCCAGA